TTTCTTTCTTTCTTTCTTTCTTTCTTTCTTTCTTTCTTTCTTTCTTTCTTATTTCTTTCTTTCTCTCTTTCTTTCTTTTTGAGACAAGGTCTCCTGTAGCCCCAGCTGGCTTGGAACTCTCTATGTAGACCAGGCTGGTCTCCATCTCACAGAAATCTGCCTGTCTCTGCTTCCTGAGTGTTGGGATTAAAGGCATGTGCCACTACGCCTGACCCTATAGATCTTAATTGACTTTAATTTGTGATTCCAGAATTGGGCAGGCCTTGGAACCACAGTAAGGAAAGGACTCTGGGCTTGCTAGATGGACAGACACTATTGACACAAAGTGGAAGTGACCTACAGGGACAACTTAATTGATTACAGCTGGGTGATTTGCTTTATCTGAGTCAGCTAGCTACCTGTGATTGAAGCTGAGCTGCTGGAATTGGCTAAGACTAGGCCATTTGTTTTAAGACTTTACTCCTAAATTAGGCTTTCAGTTACTTTATACCAAGTTAAGCTAGTTTGATACACAAAGACTTAATTTCAAAGGTATCCGGTGGCCTAACTTTAATTTAGTTTAGCACTAACTATGGCTAAAATCAGCACCCTTTCTCTGTTAAATGACTACCTAGTTATTATGTTAAGATTTGTCGAAATGTGATCTCAGTTATAGCTACTCAGCTCTGCAGGTATTGACAAAAACGACTGCAGACATACACACATATATGGGCAGGACCATGTTCCAGTGACTTTGTTTAGGCTAAGGGGCTGGAGACATGGCTAAGTTAAGAACACTTGCTGGGTTCAGTTCTTAGCACCTACATGGCAGCTTATAACCATCTCTAACTTCAGTTCCAGGGGGATCAGACACCCTCTTTGGGCACCAGGCATGCATGTGGTGCATATACATACATGTAGGCAAAAACTCTCATAACAACAACAACAACAAAAATAAAAAATATGGGCCAAATTGGGACTGTTGTATTTTGCCCATCCTGAGCTGTAGGATCTCATACTACGAAGTCAGTTTAATTTCCTAAGGTTGTCTGGAGGATGAAAAATATGTAATCTGTGAAACAAAATACCATGTGCTGAGCATATAGTAAACACTTGAAAACAGTGGTGGCTGGCTGAGGTGGTGGTTTCTGCTTGTATTCCCAGTACTGGGGAGGCTGAGGTAGGAGGATTGCAAGTTCTAGGCCTTGGTGGCTATGTGGCAGGACCCTGTCTCAAAAAAAAAAAAAAAAAGCGATGGCTTTTATTGTACTTTACTAAAAGTGTTATTAAGCCAGGTGTGGTGGCTCACGTATGTAGTCCCAGCACTTGGGAGGCAGAGGCAGGGGGATCTCTGTGAGTTCAAGGCCAGCCTGGTCTACATAGTGAGTTCCAGGACAGCTGGGGCTACAGGGAGACCCTGCTTCAAAAAGACAAAAAAAAAAAAAATGTGTTATATCACAGGCTGAGGAGATGTCTCTCAAGTATGAGGACCCGAATTTGATATCTAGAGCCCATGTAAGAAAAAAGCCAAGTTGCACAACACGGCAGAGGCAGAGACAGAGACTGGGGATGTCCCTGGAGCTCACTGACTCGTTAGTTTAGCCTACTTGGTGAGTTCCAGGTCAATAAAAGACCCTGTCTTGAAAGAAAAAAAGATGTAAGTCACCTGTGAAATGACACTGAAGTTGTCCCTTGGCCTCCATAGACACATGCAAATGTGAGTTCGTCACACACATGTGCTTCTACCCCTCAAATAAAAGTATGAGAGACCATCCAACTTAAGGTGTCATCGATTATACAACACATCTTCATTTTGAGTATGATTAATAGTAATTATGTATGGTGACAAGATTATATTTAGGGTTATGAATCTTGTTCTACTCATGATAGTTTAAAGCTTCCTGTATAACACGCCTTTGTGATGTTTTTTTCTCATCAGAGACACATGCCATGAACTGTTGGGACACGTTCCACTACTTGCAGATCCCAAGTTTGCTCAATTTTCACAAGAAATAGGTCTAGCATCCCTGGGAGCATCAGATGAAGATGTTCAGAAACTAGCCACGGTGAGTTAATTTTCTACTTAAAGAACTGTTCAGTTCCTACTCGTAAGGTGAAATAAACCTCAAAGTCATTGTGAATTACAGGCCCGTGTTCTGATGAAAGCATGTTTTCAGCCTACCCAAATATGTATTTTATCATTCTTGTTCAGGAGTTGGCTGGATACAAATGGTTAATCAATATTTTAGGTTTGGGAGTCATGTAATCTCTGTCCCAATTTCTGAGCTCAGCCATTGTGGTACAAAAGCAGTAAAGACAATATATAAATGAATAAATATGGCTGTGTTTTAATAAAACTGTATTCACAAAAGCTGGAGGAAAGCCATATTTGGCCTATTAGCTAGAGTTTACTCAATCTCATAGAAATATTTGTCATAGTAAAAGGTGTACATTTATGGCAAAGTAGGAATTGTAGCTGGGATTATCTCTTTGACAAGTTGCTATGGTTATAATCAGATATGATTTGAGACAGTAGTAAGAAACTCAGGCTTAACAGTTACTCTAACTACAAAACCAGAAAACATTGAATACATGCTATGATATCAGCAAGGTTCTTCTCTAAACAAGCAATATAAGAGGAAAGGTAGAGTGTTGGATGTTGTGTTTCAGATGCTAAAGAACAGATCTAGAAAGCTTGTATGCCTTACTTTTCCCTCATTTCACAGCCCAGAATAGAAAGACATTTAGCAGCTCACTGACCTACAGGGACTAGGGAGCTTAAAAGAGTGTAGTCACTAGAGTAAGGGAAAGGAGGTCTTCAGTTTTGTGTATTTGTCACAGATTAAATACATACTAGATATGCATACTAGGTATGAAAGCACATTCTAAGGAACACTTTTTCAGTCTGGAGATGGCTCAGTGGGTAAGGTGCTTGCTGTGCAAGCATGAGGACCTGGGTTCAGATCCCTAGCACCCAAGTAACAGCTGGGGTATGGTGGCCTATAATCCTAATGCTGGGGTTGAGAGGTGGGTAGAGGTAGACAGATCCCTGGGGCTTGTTGGCCAGATAGTCTAGCCAGGCAGCAAGCTCTGGGTTCAGCAAGAGGCCTCATCTCAAAAACTAAGGTGGAGGGCAACAGAGGTAGACACCCAACACTGACTTCTGACTTCCAAATATCTGACCTTACTCACACACATGCATATAACATACATACTTGTACAGACACAGATTATTTTTCTTAGGTTTCTTTTTGTGTTTATTTATGGATGCATGTGTCTGTGTGTGTGTCTGTCTGTCTCTGTGTGTATCTATCTCTGTGTGTATGTGTGTGTGAGACCCTGGTTTTGCTGGTTTCACTTCCTTGTCCTTTGTTCACATTGCCTGAGCCTCCACCACAAGTCCCTCTGACGTTCTGTTTTTCCAAAGCCTGACAGTTCCAATTCTTCCCAATTTTGCAAATGGGTTGTTTACTTTGAAGGGTGGCAAGACAAGGAGGGATCTGGAAAGAATTTTCTGTGCGATGTAGAGTGTGTGGAGAAGGATATCCACAGTGTGATAAGGCTAGAGTGACTTTATGAAATGGTACTAAAATTGCTGTTGACTTCTAGAGCTATATCTCATCTCTCAGTTAAAAACTGTGAGCAGAAAACTGCCAGAAAATGGTCTTGGAAGAAAACAGATTCCAGACAGACCAATTCACAGTAAACTCCGGAATAAATAGTCTGCTGGATAACATGCACATTAATGACTTTCAAGCAATACCCTGAAGCTAAAAGGCAAATTGAATGACTCACGAAGACTGAGAGCTTAAGAGTTCAAGTCTTACTGACAGGAACAAAGTATCCTTTGGTGGGGGAGAGTGGTGGATGGCTAGGCCTGATGAGAAATGGAGGTATTATTTTCGATTTCCACAAACTTGTTTGCATTAATTCCCTTGAAGAAGTAGTAGAGGAAAATGAGAGATGAGATGTGCCAGAGGAGAGACATCCAAGGAGAGGACAAATGGAACTCTGCAACCATCACTGTTTATGTAGGTCAGTGAGACAGGCTGCACTATTCTTTTACTTTAGGTGAGATATATTATTAATGCTTCTGTTTATGTAGTGTCTGGTTTTCCTTGTTTAGTGCATTTTAGCACTTGTTTAAAAAGAGTCATGACTCATGAAATCATACCAAATAACTTTCTGTGATGTGCTGTTAACAAATATGTCTAAGGAGGAAAACAACCTCTGTTCAGGCTATTGGCACTGCCAAACTCAGTTTTGTCCAAGGATGCTTTTGGATTTCTGGATCTGGTTTTCAGAGGGTCCAGGCTGCATGCCTGTAGGCATTGTATCTCCTTGCTGTATTTCTACTCCATATTTATTTTGACATTTTAATAATGCTCTATTTTGAGACTGAAGCTATCGCCACTGTTTTTTGTGGGCAATGTTTCTTATGCCCTGAGAACTATTTAAATGAACCTCTTTTGTATCTGAAGAAATTGATGATGATGCCTGGAAAATGTATTTCAAATGCATTGTTGTACATGTAAATAATTTGCCCTCTGGTGGATAATGAGTAAGGTCATTAGTTTTGTCTGCTATATTCTTTTCTTACTCCTCATAGCTGTCCTAGGTCTGTGCATGACAGATATGCAAAAATATTTCCAATAAGGTCTGCCTTAGTGTGGTATAATTTTGAGACCAACCACTTTCTATTGTAGTGCTGGTTAAAGTGGATTTAATAGATTAGTGTATACATTAAGGTTGTAAATGTAAATACCTTCAGTGGCTAGGTAGGTAGCAAATATCTGTGAAACAGCCTTATATAAGGTAATAAGGAGTATTAGAGTCTGTGGAGAACTGGAGAAAATATATTATGCCTAATGGCTTTCAGATGCAAAAATTAAAACAAAACTAAAGGTTCATTGGCAATGAATCATGTGTATAAGTAGAAACAGAAGTGACCAGTCATTGTTTCTGAAGTGAGATTTGATACTATACAAAGTTTGAAAGACAAGGCCATGCAAGATTCATCTTTATATTATATCGTATATTCCCAATGAACTATTTGCTAGATAACAGGATTTATTTTCTAAGAAAAAATGGCTACTGTAGTAAAGTGGCTTACTGTAGTTGAAAAAGGCAACTTGGTTTGAATTATGACTTTAAATTTTAAAATGTATTTATTTATTTGTGCGTGTGTGTGTGTGTGTGTGTACCTGTGTGCCTTAGCATGTATATAGAGGTCTAAGAGAGTAACTTAATGGGAGTGGCTGGTTTACTTCTATCTGTACCCCCTGAGACATCTTGCAGGCCCTGAATTATAACTTAAAATAGTTACAAACATGACTTTCATATACAATGTCCTGAGCATGTTTCAAAATGTATTTAATTCATTAGTGAGGAAGAGCGGGATATTAAATTGGTAAATCCAGTTCAGAGAAGAACTTGGGGAACTGAGAATATATAGTCACTGAAATAGAGAATTCTGGAATTAGATATAAAATGGTTTATGTTTTTGTAGGCAAAGGCAATAAAACCATAACTTCTTTCCTTGTTCAAGACAGAGTCTTATGTAACCCAGGCTGATCTTGAATTTACTATGTAGGCAAAGCTGGCCTTGAACTCAGTGGTGGTTTGGATGAGAATGTCTTCTATAGGCTCTAAGTATTTGGAAATTTTGGTGGACTCTGTTTTGGGAGGCCTTAGGAGATGTGGCCATGCTGGAAGAAATGAACTCTTCCTTGTATAAAGTTCCCTTGATCACGGTGTTTTATCACAGCAACAGAAAAGTAACTAATACAAACTCCCAACTCTCCTGCTTCTGCCCCCTGAGTGCTGAGATTATATGTTTGTATTACTAGGCATGCCTAAGGCCCAAATCTGGATGCAGAAATCATTTGCAGGTCTAGTAGACAAGCATAATTTGCATTTTATTAGCCTTTATAAATCAGTATTTGACTTTGCAGCATGTAGGCTTTAATCAATAGTAAATAGGAAGTCAGACCAAAATTGTATCCTCTAGCTCAGTGTAGTAAAAAAATGTATGTGTATAAAATAACCTGGAGATCTGATGGAGAAGGTCTGAGAGTCAGCATTTCTGAGAAGATCCAGGTGATACTGATGTTGTGGTTCAAAGCTGATACTTTGTGTCTCAGTTTTTTTTTTTTTTTCTGTTGTTGTGATGAAGCACCATGACAAAAGGCAACTCAAGGGAGAAGGGGTTAATTTCAGCTAACAGTTCAAGAGTATAGTCCATTATGACAGGGAAGTCAAGGCAGCAGGAGGTTGAGGCACATGGCATCCACAATCAGTGGCGGCTGCTCCTCCGTTCTCGTGGGTGCTGCTCTTTCGTTCTCACGGGCGTCGAGGCTGCTCCTCCACTCGCCCTGGGCTGAGGCCGCTCTTCTGCTTGCCCTGTGTTGCCTCCTATCGTCGCCACTTCTGCCCGGTCCCGGACCCCAGGCCTGGTGAGGAGACTGTGTCAGCGGAGCCACATTCAGACAGAGGAGACCAGGTTCAGTGACACAGTTCTGCTTTATTGCAGGAAGGCACAAGCTTATATAGGGGTAGTGGTCCAATCACAGCACAGCAAGTAGGATACCTCATTAGCATAACAGGTTTAGCATCCTATCACAGTACAGCAAGTGGGATCTCTCCTTATTAGCATAACAGACGTAACGTCCTATTAGCATAACAGACTTAATGTCCTATCACAGAATAGAGGGTAGGATGCCTCATTAGCATACTGGGTTTCAGATTACAGAGCCTGGATTCCTGGAAACCACATGACCCTGACAGTTGCAATATCACCCTAGGCTGAAGCCTGTCTCCCACAAGTGATCAGAGCACAAGTGAATACATGTTAGTGCTCCACTCTCATTCCAAGATCCCCTGCCCAGGGACTGGTTCTGCTCACAATCAAGATGGGGTTTTCCCACATCAATTAATATAATCAAGATAATCTGTCACAGACATTCTCAGAGGCTAGCCTTAATCTAGATATTCTCTCACAGCTATCCTAGAGGCCCATCTCCTTGGTGATTCTAGATTCTGTTAAGATGACAATTAATACCAACCC